GTTCCAGTTTTTTTTGTTTTTGTTATTTTATTTATTTATTTGCTTTTTTCTGGGGGGGGTGTTACACTAAGCAATGCTCAGGGCTTACTCCTGGCTCTGCATTCAGGAATTACTCCTGGCAGTGCTTGAGGGACTGTATGAGATGCCAGGGATTGAACCCAGGTCGGCTATGTGCAAGGCAAAAGCTCTATCCGATGTATTATCACCCCTGGCCTGTTTTTGTTATTTTTGAAAAATATTCCAGTCTCATCTTAATATGGGAATACTATGAAATCTTTATTTAAACATACTTTTTCAAGAGTAAATTTATTTTTTGTGTGTATTTCTCTCTGTCATGAGCCTAGAAAAATTTGTTTTTTATTTTGGTCTTATTCACCACTACTACCACTACCACTATTGAATTTTGTCTTCTTTTCTGCTCTGTCTCCCTTCTTTTCCTCAGACTCTCCCTTTCCATTGTCTTTTTTTCCAGGAGACCTTAACGCCAATGGGCTTTGGGGAAGAAAGTACAGAGTGGAGCACAGAGACATGAAAATAGCCTGGGCTCATTAAGGGCATCCAGGTAGGGAAGGAAGAAATCAAGCTCTCACTATTGCAGATGATATGATACTATACTTAGAGAACCCTAAAACCTCTACCAAGAAGCTCCTAGAAACAATGGAATTGTATAGTAAATTTGCAGGCTATAAAATCAATTCCCAAAAATCCATGGCTTTCCTATATGCAAATAGTGAAAGAGAAGAAAGTGACATGAAGAATACAATCCCATTCACAATTGTGGCCCAGAAAATCAAGCACCTGGGAATCAGCTTAACTAAGGAAGTAAAGAACCTGTACAAAGAAAACTACAAAATGCTACTTCAGGAAATTAAAAAGGACAGGAGCAAATGGAAAAATATCCCCTGTTCATGGATGGGGAGAATTAACATTGTTAAAATGGCAATACTTCCCAAAGCACTGTACAAATTCAGTGTGATACCTATAAAGATACCCATGACATTCTTCAAAGAAATCGAGCAAACACTCCTGAAATTTATATGGAACAATAAGCCCCCACGAATAGCTAAAGCAATTCTTGGGAAGAAGAAAATGGGAGGAATCAACCTCCCTAACTTCAATCTCTACTACAAAGCAGTAATAATTAAAACAGCATGGTATTGGAACAAAGACAGAGCTGCAGACCAATGGAACAGAGTCGAATATACTGACATCTCCTCCCAAGCATATGATCATCTAATCTTCGATAAGGGGGCAAGAAAAGTGAAATGGAGCAGGGAAATCCTCTTTAATAAATTGTGCTGGCAAAACTGGATGGCTAAATGCAAAAAAGTGGGCTCAGATCTCTGCCCAATGCCATGCACAAAAGTAAGATCAAAATGGATTTATAACCTCAAGCATATGATCATCTAATCTTCGATAAGGGGGCAAGAAAAGTGAAATGGAGCAGGAAAATCCTCTTTAATAAATTGTGCTGGCAAAACTGGATGGCTAAATGCAAAAAAGTGGGCTCAGATCTCTGCCCAATGCCATGCACAAAAGTAAGATCAAAATGGATTTATAACCTCAACATCAGACCAGAATCCATAAAGTTCATTGAAGACAAAGTTGCCAAAACCCTCCATGATATTGAAGCGAATGGTTTCTTCAAAGATCTCACACTGCTGGTCAAGCAAGTGAAAACAGAGATAGACAAATGATACTATCTTAAACTAAGAAGCTTCTGCACCTCAAAATAAACAATGACCAAAATACAAGACAGCCTACAGAATGGGAAAGGATATTCACCAAATACACATCCGACAAGGGGTTGATATCATGGATATACAAGGTACTGGTTGAACTCCACAAGAAGAAAACACCCAACTCCATCAAAAAATGGAGCGAGGAAATGAACAGAAACTTTCGCAAAGAAGAAATCCAAATGGCTAAAAGGCACATGAGAAAATGCTCTACATCACTAATCATTAGGGAGATGAAGACCAAAACAACAAAGAGATATCATTTCACGTCACAGAGACTGGCCCACATCCACAAGAACAAAAGCAACTGATGCTGGCACGGATGTGGCGAGAAAGGAACCCTCCTTCCCTGCTGGTGGGAATGCCGACTGGTCAAACCCTTTTGGAAAACAGTATGGAAAATTCTCAAAAAATTAGAATTTGATCTCCCATTTGACCCAGCAATACCACTCCTAGGAATATATTCCAGAGGGGTAAAAAAGTATAGTCGAAGTGACATCTGCACTTGTTTGTTCATTGCAGCACTCTTTACAATAGCCAGAATCTGGAAAAAACCTGAGTGCCTGAGAACAGATCACTGGTTAAAGAAACTTTGGTACATTTACACAATGGAGTACTATGTAGCAGTTAGAAAAAATGAAGTCATGAAATTTATATACAAATGGTACTACATGGAAAGTATCATGTTAAGCGAAATGAGTCAGAAAGAGTGGGATAGACACAGAAAGATTGCATTCATCTGGGGAACATAAAGCAACAAAATGGGAGACTAATACCCAGGAGTAGCTGATATTAGTACCAGGAATTTTTGTCCATGACTTGGAGGCCAGCCACACGTGCTAGAGGAAAAGGAAGCTCAGATAGAGAAGAGAGCATCAAATAAAGGGTGTTGGGAGGATCCTTCTAGGGTGGGAGAAGGATGCTGAAAGTAGACTATGGACCAAACATGATTGCCACTCAATGCCTCTCTTGCAAACCACAGGACCCAAAAGGAGAGAGAGAGAACAAAAGGGAATGCCCTGCCACAGAGGCAGGGTGGGACGGGGGTATGGGGGTGGGAGGGATGCTGGGACCCGTGGTGGTGGAGGATGGGCGCTGATGGAGGGATGGGTACTTGATCATTGTATAACTGAAACCCAAGCACAAAAATTTGTAAGCCTAAAAAAATAAGTTATCCTTAGCAATAAATACTGTCCAGTATTAAAAAAAAGAAAGAGATAAAAATGAGGTACAGAAAGTTAACTCTATGAAAAGGGACTCACTGGCATAGGTTTTATTGCCATCAGAATTTTAAACAAAGCAAGTAAATTAATTTCAATAAATAAAGCATGTATTTCTTAACTTAAGAAACATATTATTTAAACAAATATGGTTATACCACATAAAGCATGTATTCATACTATTTTCAATTTAACTTTGTTCCTTGAAACGTATCTACGTTAAAAATTTTTTATTTCTTAACAGCTCTAATATTTGCTTTTAACCATAGCATACAAAATCGCTTAAGAGCAATATCTCTATTTCCATTGGTAATAAGGGTACTGAACAACATTTAAGGTTTCATTGTCACGGTCACGGTCCTCCCGTTGTTCATAGATTTACTCGAGTGGGCCCAGTAATGTCTCCATCATGAGAATTGTTGTTACTGTGTTTGGCATATCGAATACGTCACGGGTAGCTTGCCAGGCTCTGCTGTGCGGGGCGAGATACTCTCGGGTAGCTTGCCGGGCTCTCCGAGAGGGGCAGAGGAATCAAACTCGGATCGGCCATGTTGGCCGTTTGTAAGGCAAATGCCCTACCGCTGTGCTATCGCTCCAGCCTGTGATGAATTGTGGAAATATTATTTCCTAATCATTCATTTGGTTACTGGGTGTGGTTATGCCACCAACTTACTTTATAGTTAGGTCATCTGCTTGTTTGCTTTCACATTTTAGGGATTGAATTTTTATTTTGACTTAAAAATTACTTATGAATTTATTGGGGAGTATTCAGGGAATTTCTGGTCTGGGGCTCATGCAGGTTGAGGGATACCTGCACTCAATGAGTGCACTCCAGACTTTGAGCCTTTTCTCCAGCTCTAAAATTATTTTAGAAAATGAAAATATATACAGGATTCTAAAGTCAATTCTGTCAATTCAAGGTATATTCAGTGCAGACTGCTCTTATGCTTGCCTACTTCATCTAGTTTCTCTTACGTGCAAACATGCATTCAGAGTTCACCTATCAGTAAAAAACTGTACTCTTCTAAAAAAAAAAAAAAAGAAAGAAAATAGCCTGGGCTCTCTGAAGACCTGAGCCATATTTTGTAGCAGCTATAAATAGTTAACACAGTGCAGGCTCATTAATCTCTATCGTAGTTTCAGTTTTGAGCCATGAAATCATAAAGAAGGGAACTAGGGGGCATGCATGGTTGTAGATATTAAAAACAAGAAGGGGGAATAAATTCTTCCTATAGTCTTATAGCAGGTCTGATCCTGAATATTTAGATTTCCCAAACCTAATATAAGCAGCTTGAATATGCGGGCAACATTTTTCTACAATTAGGTATATATTGTTCATTTGGAAAAACCAAGATAATTAGGGTGAGGGTTCTTGAATTAAATGAAGGAAGGTAATTTTATTATTTTCTATGTCAACAGGAGAGCAGGATTTTATATTTGCAACTGTATTTTAACCCCCCCTAAAGAAGATTTCACAGGACGAACAGGATAAGTCCAGCAATTTTAGCTATTTTAATTACTTCACCTGGTCTTGCTTCCTCACTGCTTGTCTTAACGCTCCTTCTTACTCTGGCTGAGATTGAATAGCTTTTTTCAATGTTCTCTATAATATCAAAATGAATTCTTCATTTTTGGTTCATCGAACATAATAACCTACTAGAAAAAAACAGCTGGATTTACAGATATGCTTTATCTTTACAATTATTGGAACCTGACCATAGGTAAGTTTGAGTTTCTCTTAAGACAGTTTATAAATAATATTCTAATCCAGGCTTATATTTAATATTAGAATTACTTTATAATACATATTGTACCTTTTGAATCTCAGCATTCTTCTTGCCACTTTATGTTAAAACCTAACTATGGCCCCCAAATATATTTTATATGAAAGAATATATGTCCATTTCATCCTTTGCAAGATATGTTCATGTGATCTGAGATGAATAACTTCCTCATATGTGTTTACATTGTCTGCATGGATTTATTCTTGTCTTACTTTCTAAGGTTTTCTGAAGTTTAATCTGTGATCAGGATACTACGCATGGCATCACAGAGCAACAACTCCTATATCCCTATCTCGGAGTTCCTCCTTATCTGTTTCCCTAACTATCAGAGTTGGCAGCACTGGCTCTCCCTGCCTCTCAGCCTGCTCTTCCTCTTGGCCATGGGGGCCAATGCCACACTCCTGATAACAATCTGGCTGGATACCTCTCTGCATGAACCCATGTATTACCTTCTCAGCCTTCTTTCTCTGCTGGACATTGTGCTCTGTCTTACTGTTATTCCTAAGGTGTTGGACATTTTTTGGTTTGACAACAAATCTATCAGTTTCTCTGCTTGCTTCCTCCAAATGTTTGTCACGAACAGTTTCCTGACTATGGAGTCCTGCACATTCATGGTAATGGCCTATGATCGCTACGTGGCTATCTGCCATCCACTGAGATACCCATCCATTGTTACTGACCAATTTGTAGCTAGAGCCGCCATTTTTGTTGTAGCTCGGAATGGCCTTCTCACTATGCCCATCCCAATACTTTCTTCCCGACTCAGATACTGTGCAAAGAACATTATCAAAAACTGCATCTGCACTAACCTATCTGTATCTAAACTCTCTTGTGATAACATCACCTTCAATCAACTCTATCAGTTTGTGGTAGGCTGGGCCCTACTGGGCTCAGATCTCATGCTTATTATTATCTCCTACTCCTTTATCTTGAAAGCTGTACTAAAGATTAAAGCTGAGGGAGCTATGGCCAAAGCTCTAGGCACTTGTGGGTCCCATTTCATCCTCATTCTCTTCTTCAGCACAGTCCTGCTGGTTCTGGTTATCACTAACCTGGCCAGGAAGAAAATTCCCCCAGATGTCCCCATCCTGCTCAACATCCTGCACCACCTCATTCCCCCAGCTCTGAACCCCATTGTTTATGGTGTGAGAACCAAGGAAATTAAGCAGGGAATTAAGAAACTGATGAGAAGGCTGTAAGGTGCAAAACTGGTAAAGTTCAATCTTGAATACAAAAATTGTTAATGGGGAATAATTTTTGATGATGTATGGAAAATTTAAATAATTACTAACTGAATATAATTGTAATTGAATTCCCTTATGCTCCTTTTTATTATGAAGATATTTACATCTTGGATTCAGTTTTCTATTGCATTGACTAATGAATCTAAGAAAAATACTAAATTAAAAACTTTCTCATATTTTTGCATTATGGTTTTATTTAAAATTTTCCTAGACTAATATATGTGAGTAGAACTTGTCAAATAAACACAGGAGCATAATTAATGTGATGATTTTACAAATATGGAACAATATATTTTAAATATTTCTATACCTATTTACTCAATGCTTAGTTATAAAGTAGGTATTTTATATTCTGTTCTATATCATGGGCTGGAGCGATAGCACAGTGGGTAGGGCATCTGCCTTGAAAGCGGCCAATATGACCCACCCGAGTTCGATTCCTCCGCCCCTCTCGGAGAGCCCGACAAGCTACCGAGAGTATCTCGCCCACACGGCAAAGCCTGGCAAGCTACCCGTGACGTATTCGATATGCCAAACACAGTAACAATTGTCACAATGGGATGTTACTGGGCCCGCTTGAGCAAGTCGATGAACAATGGGAGGACAGTGACAGTGACAGTTCTATATCATATAATTTAAGCTGGTTTTGTGCCATGAATGAATTTCTTGTGGAGGAAGAGAAGTCAGAGCTAGAAATTTGATTCTTACACGTGAATGACTAATGACATCAAATGTCACCTCTATCCTCTCCAGATCCTTTAAATAGATTTATTCATTTATTGCTTCTCTGGAGTATGAATTTCTTAGAATTCTTTTTTTCCATCTAATTAATTAAGGAAAGTTTATGAAAGTTATCTTTATGTGAGTTCTATGTGTAATGTGCTTAAGTCAAAGTTATTTGTCTTAGTGACACAGTTTAATTATCTTTCTTATTCCACCTTTACCTCTGTCATGTGAGTACTCTTATACTATGGTGGAAGTATATTCCTATAGGATTCAGGAATTACAATGACTGGGGTTGTTGTATAGAATAAATGTTTTATCTTTTGAAATTCTTTTGATAACCATGCTCTGAATATTGTGGGGGATTTAGGCTTTGACCATTATTTCTTGATATTTGCACTGGTAACCAGGCCTCATTTGTGTACTACAAAGAGACTGTTTTTTAATTATCGCTAAGCACAGTGATTTATAGTACTGTTAATCAGAGCATTATACATAATGTTCTATCACCACCTCCATCACAAGAGTGTCAGTTTCCCTTCACCAAAAACATGTAGACACCTCACATGAACCCTCCCACCCACCTTGTAAACTCATTTTACAAATTCTTAGTTTCTATTGCCTTTGACAATTTATTATTTTACTAAATTTCTTTATATCCCACATATGAGACAAATCATTTTTCATTTGTCCCTCTCCTTCTGACTGACTTCACTTGGCAGAATGTTCTCTAGTTCCATCCTAGTGCAGCAGATAGCATCATTTCTTCCATTCAGATAGCTGAAAAATATTTCATTGTGTATATGTACTGCAATTTCTTAATCCATTCATCTGCTCTTGGACATGAGTTATTTTCAGATATTGAATATTATAAATACATTTGCAATGAACATAGGAGCACAAATGTCTTTTAAAAATAGTGTTTTGGGGCCCCTGGGGTAGATACCAAGAAGTTGGATTTTTGGATTATATGGGAGCTCATTTCTAAATTCTTAAAGATGTCTACATGCTGTTTTCCATCGGGGCTGGACCGGTCAATATTTTTACAAGCAGTAGATGAAGTTTCCTTTACTCATATCCCACCCGTGCTGGTTATATTTATTCTTTTGTATGCATATAAGTCTCATGTGTGAAATGATATAAGTGTGAGATGACATAACATTGTTGTTTTGATCTGCAGTTCCATGATTATAAGTGACAAAGAGCACTTTTCATCTAAGTATTGGCCATCTACTTGTTCTCTTGAGAAAGTGTTTATTTAGCTGTTCTCCCCATTGTATTTTGTTGTTTTTGTTAACTTCTTCAAGTGCTTTACGTATCTTGGATATCAACCCTTTGTCTAGATGAGTGGTGAGCAAATAGTTTGTCCTAGTGGGTAAGGTTTCTTTATGGTTTAATCACTGTTTCTTTATTCAGAGTTTACATTTTTTAAAAAAAATTTGCATCTCTTATTTTTATTTTTTAAAATGAGTGATCCAAAATTACAAAGTTTCAAGTCATTCATGATTGAGTTTCAGTCATGAAATGTTCCAACAAATGTTCCAACCAGTGTCCATTTCCCACCACCAATGTCCCCAGTTTCCCTTCTGCCCCTAGTCTCCTCTATGGCAGGCACTACTTTCCGTTTTTGCTTTCCACTTTTAGGCAGTATGGTTCACAATATTGTAACTGATAGGGCATCATGCATATTACTCTACCTTTTTTCAGCACCTAGTTCTGGCCCAGAGTGCCTATCTCTGTCTATCACTGTAACAGTGGTCTCTACCCTGACCCATCGGACCTCTCTCCTTTCTACAGTTGCGAGCTTCCTACTAAAGACAGTTCTCATACCATCATTTCTATTACCTTTGAGCATTAGTTATTCCCCTACTCTGTTCCTTTATATTCTGCATATGAATAAGATCTTTTCCACGATGAGATCTCTCCCTCTGACTCATTTCACTCAACATGATACTCTTCAAATTCATCCATGCTGTAGCAAGTTGCATGACTTTAGAGCTTTTTAATTTATTGTTATCCAAGTTGTTTTTATTTTCTTGGTCAATGTCAGCAGGCTAAGATTATCAACATCAAAAATATATTCAAAGACTCATCTCCAGTGTCAAGGAAAGCAAAATCAAGAATAAACAACTGAAACATCAAAAGAAATAGCGTCTGTACAGTGATAACAAAAAGTGAAAGGTTACAAAGCTGGTAAAGTAGACTTTCAAACCAATCAAATAGAATTGAAAACCCAGAAGCACACCCATAGACACCTAGACATTTAATTATTAAAGAGCCAATTGCATTAAGTAGAGGAAAGAGAACATCTTCAATAAATGGTTCTGGGAAAATAAGATGATCACCTGAAAATAAATAAATGTTGACTCCATCTTACATCATATATGAAGGTTAATTTAAACTGGATTAAATGTTTTGAAATTAGACCAGAATCTAAAATAAATAATAGGAGGAAAATAGAAAGCTATCTCTAGCATATGAACCTCAGTGTTGTCTTCAATAATTCAACTCCATTGGCAATGAAGAAAAAGACATAAACAAATGAGACTACATCAAACTAAAACATTGTGTTTAACTAAACATGGAATAAAATTTGTCTTATGAATAAATGAAATTAATAAAAAACTCTATTGCACGAGAAAAAGTATTTCCAAACCATAAATCTGATAAAGGGCATATGTATGTGTGTGTGTGTGGTGTGTTTGTGTGTTTGTGTGTGTGTGTATATATACATATATATGTACATATATGTGTATAAATACCACAAAGCTCAGTGAGATGAGAACTTCAATAGTCACTTCTTCAAAGAAAACATGTATTACTAATATTATAAGAAAATATATTCATCATAACTTAACAGGAAATACAAATAAGAATAATGAAATATCACTTCACAATAATAAGAATATCCTATATCAAAAGACTGTAAACTGTATTGGCAGGGAGTTTGCGAAAAAGGAACTCTCATTCAATGGTGAAAATGAAATATGATTCAGCTTTATGGAAAATAATATAAAGACATCTTAAAAAATTGAAAATAGAACTTCCATATGACCCAATGATCCACTTTTCAGAAATTATTGCAAGAACATAAAAAAATCATTCAAAAGATATATACTCACCTATGTTTATTGCATCACTATTTACAATAGCATAGATATAGAAACAACTTGTGGGCAATAACAGGTGAATGAATAAAAATGTTACAGAATAGAGGCTCAACTCCTATTTTTTTTGAGGAATGTCCATATTGTTTACCAAGAAGGCTGGATTAGTCAATATTATCACTAGCAATGTATGAGGGTCCTTTTTGTCCCTACATCTTGACCAACAGTGGTTGCTGAGTAACTTTGTAACTTTGTAATTCATGATGGTTCAATAAAAAAAGGAGTTTTGGAACTGTAGGACAAGATAAAATCTTTTATTTTTTTACAGCTTGAAGAACTAGAGGGAATCCTGTTAAGCAAAATCAATCAGAGAGAAGACAAATACCAGGTGATTTTACTTATATGAGAAAAATAATGGAGAAAAACAGTGAGTGGAGGATACTTAATGTTTACAAACCCTTGAATACAGAATGGAAATTACCAAAGGCTAAGAGGAGGAAAAGGCTGACTAGAAGTGATACTAGATTAGTAGCAGAAGATTTTATTTTATATTTGGTGGCCACCCCTGCATTGCTCAGCGGTTACTCTTGGCTCTGACTCAGGAATTAGTCCTAATAGGGTTCAGAGTTGGGGATCGGGGATCATATGGGATGCAGAGAATCCAACCCTGCAAGGCAAGCGGCCTACCCTTTGTACTATCTCTTAGGCAGACAATAATTTTGGACACTTAATGGTGATAGAAAGGTATTAGTTCTGTATATTGAAACAATAGAAGTGAATACTGTTGTAACTATACTATTACAACTTTAGTTAAAACATGTAAAGACCATTTGCTGAGATGTTAATTTCTGTAAGAGGGGGATTTTAGTTGACTATACTGGCTATATAATGGAGAGTGCATTGTGTCAAAGAAGTCTAAATATAATATTACCTATGGCTGTTGCTTATTGGAATGATGAAACTACATTTCTATTTAAAATATACTAATATTTATTCAAATACTAGTGGTGCAATCAGACTATTGGGAGAATTTCAAGAGTAATTTATTTGATTACTAGAGAGAGGATTAAGTAAATTGACAAACACAGGAGACCATACTTTAAATTGAGCAATTAATTGAGCAATTATTTATAAAATATTTTGCCTCAAACTGAAGAGCATAGACTTTAGGAAACATAGAACTAGACTTTGAGGTATTTTAATTTTGGCATAAGAAGACAGGAATCCAGAATATTTGTCTAATGTAGCTTTACCTGTATATTATCTTCAGTAATTTCAGAAATATATTACTTCTAAAGATTAGAAGACTTAGATTTTTTAGAAGAAAATACCTCATCTATCATTTTGGCTTTTTGGCCAAGATAACATACATGGAACCCTTCCTAGGAATAACTATAAGTTTTCTTTGGAAGATTAATTCAGCCAAGAATCTGTAAATGATGTGAATGTAGATTTTGACCTTTGAACAAAATCATAAATTATAACATCCAAAAGATATCCTGATATGATGTTCATATTTCACATTAGTTTTATTTATCATGAGAGAATGTGAGCAGTATGCATGTGTACACTCAAAGAAATAAGTACATAAGAGTGACTCAGAATTGCAAATAATTTAGGGAAGTACATATTTTCATAGACTCTAGAAATAGATATATGTTAAAAACAATGAGTTCTTCGTCACTCCTCGGGTTCTATGTAAGTTCCTTAACTGGTCATGACTCACAAATAAATCCGATCCAGAGACTCACAAATCTCAGAAGATCAAGCTGCAGAGATGCCTCCAGACCTCATGCCAGGCTAAACCTCATATCCAGTACAACCTACAGGGGGTCAGGTTGGTCCCATCACCCGCCCTATCAGAGCCCTGGTAGCCAAAAACCTCCAGAGCCCAATTGCCCCCATGCTCACAGACTCGAACAAATCTCATCCATGATGAATTTGTCAAAAAACTCAGGCATGCAGGTTTTATGACCAAAATCTCTAGGCTCTCACAGTGTTGGGAATGGGAGACTTCCTTGTTCTTCCTGGAGCCTGGCAGTCATACCTATGAACTGCCTTTGGAGCCATATAAGCTCTTTAACCTGCTATACTCCAGCGACTCACAAATAAATCCTGGAAGAGATCAGCAAACTGTAGCGATTCCTCAGACCTCAAAGTCACAATCCAGTTAAAATTTAACTCCATCTGTATCACCTTATTTAAAATTTTAGAATTCCTGGAGTGACATCTCATACTCTATACCATTGATGTACCAGGAGAAGCATGTTAGCATTAGACAGGATGTACAGTAGAAGACAACCAATCTCAATTAAAAAAGTATTAGCACACAAGGCTCAGCCTGAAACAGCGTGTTAGTAATCTCTTACACAAGGGATCAATAGCTCCAGAGTAAGATAACAATCTTCACATTTTCTTCTAAGGAAACTTTTTTGATCATTTTAACAGAATTATTCATGACAAGCAATACAAAATAAATTATTTAGGGTCTGCTATTGGGGCAGGCTTGGGTGGTGGTTGGGAAAATTCAAAATAATGGGGTGGGTAAGTTGTAATGGTGGTGAAATTGGTGCTGGGGCACTGAATGTAACAACTTATTATGAACAACCTTATACAAATAAAATAAAATTCAAAATAAACAAAAATAAACACTGAGTCCTTTTCCTTCACATATTAGAGGAGCCTAAAGTTCAGTGAACTCTACTGCTCAATAAAACAAAATGCAAATGAACAAAATAATGAATGAAGAAATTAAAAATTTTTCAAAAAAAAAGATAAAAAATGAGTAACAAATACAAGTCACATAAAAATAAAAAGTCTGAGATTACACATTAGAAGTTCTGCATTTTAGGTCTTGCATAGTCAGAAATATAGCTATAAATGAAAATAATAGTTCACTGTACTTTAGGCAGTAGAGCTCAGGGATTTCTCTTTACTCCCAGAAGGGATCAATCCTGAAAGATTTTAGTGGACCACATATGGTATCAAAGACTTAACCAGTGTTGGTAATAGGGCAAGTACCATAACCCCTCTACTATTTCTCAGATTCTTCCATTTGTATAACAAACCAGAACATTAATTTAGTGCTATAAGGTCTAGTTGTTTTATACACCATGTAACTGCACAAGATTTTCTCAGTAATAACAAATTTGTGTCTTGTAACCTTAAACACTACACAGTTTCAGTATCAGAGCAGTTGCTTAGAAGTTTTTCTTAAATTAATAATAGGGCTATTTAAGTATAATTTCTTGTATATTTAAATGTAATTTATTGGATATTTTATTATATATTTTATTACACTTAAATATATTTTTTAGTATATTTAAGTGTAATTTCTTGGAATGTGTGTCCATAATATACCATCTTAAATACCAAAGCAGAGGATATTTAAGCATAATTACTGGGACATGTTCTGGTAATGTGACATCTTAGCATCCCAAAGCAGAGATATGCATAGATCACAACTGAGGTTTTTTAAATATTGAAGGTAAAGCTTTGGTGTCATCATGATTTTATTTTAAGACAATATTTTATATAACATCAAACAGTAAATTTCATACATCTATAAAGCACTCATAACACTCAATAACAAGATATCCAATGATTCCAGCCAAAAATAGGGAGAGGGGATGAAAAGACACCCAAAGAAGACAAACAGATGTATGTACAGATTGGCCAATAGGCATATAAAATATGCAGAACACCACTCATAATTAGGAAAATGCAAATCAAAATAACACTAAGATATCATCTCATGCCAATGAAAATGGCATTTATAAAAAAAGACATTTATCTTTTTAAAAAGCCTCTTTTGGGGGATTGTGGTGAAAAAAAAAACCATCATCCAGTGTTGGTGGCATATCACTTGGTTCAGTCTCTATGGAAAGTAATATGAAGATCTATTAAAAAAAAGAAACAGAACTCCCATATGTTCCAGTAATATCACTTAAAGGCATTCTTTTTCCAAACACATAAAATTAGTTTGAAAGGATATATGCACACCTATGTTCATCGTCAAACTTAAGATAACAGTCCAGATATAGAAACAACCCAAATACTCAACTACAGATAAATGGATCAAGCTGCAGTATATATACACGCAATGGAATACTATGTAGCTCAAAAAAATAACTAAATCAATCAATTTTCTGTAACATGGATGAAACTAGAGAATATCATATAGAGTTCAGTCAGTCAGAAGGAAAAGGATAGATACAGAATGATCTGACCTACATGTGGACCTAAATATGCATAGCAAGGTAGCAACAAAGGTCCAATGGGAGAACTGATCCACAGAACTGAGTTGGTGGGAGTGATAGGGAAGGGTGCTGGGATCCTTGAGTGAGGAAGGTGGGTACACTGATGATATGGAGTTTGAAGAAAAAGGGTAGGATCAAGAATTGTTTCAGAGTAAATTTGCTTTTACTCTTAATCTTATGTCTCTGAAATGGATATCAACCCATTTGGATACCAACCCATTTCCTATAAACTGATTTAAACTTGTCACATATTAGAAATATAGAGAGGCAATCATCCTTATTACCACCCTTTCTTTAATAATCTCTGGATTCCTTGCTTGATCTCTTGTGTGCGCACTCCATAAACAATGGGATTGAGAGCTGCAGGGATGACATGGTGGAGGACATTGAGCAAGACTGGCACATCATGAGACACTTTCTTCTTCACAGCATGAGTGAGAACAAAGACCAGAAGAATAGTGCTGAAGAAGAGAATAAGGATGAAGTGTGAGCCACACGTACTTAGTGCCTTGGCCACAGCACCTTCTGCCTTGAGTCTTAGCACAGCTCGCAATATGAGGGTGTAGGAGAGGAAGATGAGGATGAGGTCAGATCCTAGCAGAGTCCAGCCTCCAGCAAACTGGTAAAGACGATTAATGATTACATTATCACAGGAAAGCCTGGAAACTGACATATTGGCACAGATACAGTTCTCAATAACATTTCTCTCACAGTACGAGAGTCGTGCAGATAGAACAGGAATAGGTATTGTCAAAAGGGCGCTCCTGGCCAATATAAAAATCATGGACTTAGCTACAAATTGGTCAGTGATGATCGATGGGTACCTTAGGGGATGGCAGATAGCTACATAACGGTCATAGGCCATGACCATGAATGTACAGGATTCCATGGCAAGAAAACAATTCATGATAAACATCTGTAGGAAACAAGCAGCAAAGCTTATAGACTTGAGATCAAACCAGAAGATAGCCAGGACCTTGGGGATGACAGTAAGACACAGCACTATGTCCAGTAAGGAGAGGAGGCTGAGGAGGTAGTACATGGGCTGATGCAGAGAGGCCTCCAGCCAGATGGTGATCAGGAGGGTGGCATTGGCCCCCATGGCCACGAGGAGGAGAACACTGAGGGGCAGGGACAGCCAAAACTGCCAGCTGGGAGACCTGACAAAACAATGCAGGAGGAAATCTGAAACTTCAATGGAGATGGTGCCATTTTGGTGTGCTGTCATAGTTCGCCATATAGTTCTACAACTTTCTTTTGGTAATCTGTAAAATAATGATAAAAATAACTTCTGATTCAAGATATACGGAACAATTTGTTTTGTAAAATGATGTGAAACCTGTAAAACTATAGCAGGTTATATAGAACCAAATGAGTTTATCTGTTTATCCTTTATGCCTAGGATATACCTTTCACTTCAAATAGTTTAGAGAACTGAGATAACAAAATTTGTTTATGTATGTTTTTTCAAGGCTTACTTTTCATTCCCTCTCGGAGAGCCCAGCAAGCTACTGAGAGTATCCTGCCTGCACGGCAGAGCCTGGCAAGTTCCCCATGGCGTATTCGATATGCCAAAAACAGTAACAACAAGTCTCACAATGGAGATGTTACTGGTGCCTGCTCGAGCAAGTCGATGAACAAGAGGAGGGAAGTGCTACAGAGCTACTTTTTATTAGAATCATTGTGCTTCTAAGCTAATGAAAAAGGAAAAATATTGAGAGAACTTCAGTGGCACATGAGTTGCTTAATTTGTACATAACTTTCTTATACTACTTAAAATGATTATACAGACTGTATATCTATGATTTAATTATAACAATACTCAGATAAATAGCAGAATATGAGATCTAGTAGGAGAATATTAATGTTCCTTGTCTTCCATGTCATTCCATTTTGACCTTCGAGTTATTTTTATTATGCTTTAATTAGAGAGTTTAAAAATACTGAATGGGCTAGAAGCACTGTAGCACTGTCCTCCCGTTGTTCATGGATTTGCTCGAGCGGGCCCGGTAGTGTCTCCATTGTGAGACTTGTTGTTACTGTGTTTGGCATATTGGATACCTCACGGGTAGCTTGCCAGGGTTTTGCCGTGTGGGTGAGATACTCTCGGGAGGTTACCGGGCTCTCCGAGAGGGGTGAAGGAACCGAACCCAACTCTGCTGGGCTGGCCACACACAAGGCAAATGCCCTATCGCTGTGCTATTGCTCCAGGATTTAAGGCATTTGACCAGATTTGATCCCCAGCATCACAATACAGTCCCCTGACCACTGTTGGGAGATTCCTGAGCACAGAGTCAGGAGTTAGCCCTAAGGATAGCGAGAGTCCTGAGCACAGAGTCAGGAGTTAGCCTTAAGGATAGCTAGGTGTAGTCCCCAAACATATGCATATATTTACATGTATGCATATATGCTACATTATATTTACATATATATGCATATGGGTGTAAAAGAAATATGATCATTTAAATTTGGTAGATATGAACCTTGCTAAATAATTTCTTGCTAGGGTCAGTGAGAGTTTGTAGGTTGAAGTGCTAGCCTTACATCAACAGATACTAGTTCAATTCACCTTACTACATATGGTCACCCAGTTACCTCCAGGTGTAATCTCTTACATCAGAAAACCAGGTGTAAGCCCTTAGTACATCTGGGTATGTTCCAGAAACTAAAAAAAAATGCTTACTATTTTCCTCTTATTAATCTTTATATTTTTGGGATTCCTAATTTCTGGAATTAAACTTGCAAGAAAAAAATTGTAATTAGACATAACCATGTGTCATTGTTACCTATCATTAATATATGATTGCAATAGTGTGAGGTGATTAAGCCTATCTAGTCCTTTTTATCTGCTTCATATTTCTGTTTTTCATTTTCAATATTAGGAAACTGATATACATTTTCTTTCTTCTGGACATTAGTTCAATGTTGTCATTATTCTCTTATCATTTAACCTTTCTCCATGGCATTCTACTAGATATTTGGGTTAAAAAAATGAAAGAGTGAGAAAGAGAATGACGAACTGCCCTTACTCTCAGACAGGTAAAGCTAAGACTGCCCATTACCCTAAGTATAATAGATAATAATAACAAATGAAGGACAAAGAGATTGAACAGTGCATGCTTTGCTTGATGTCAACTTTGGTTCAGTCCTCAGCACTGAGTATGTATATAAGCACTGCTTATGGTCCCTTAAACACAGCCAGGAGTGACCCTGAACACAGAATAAGGAATTGCCCTGAGTGCTCCCAAGTGTGGCCCCAAGGCAATAAAAAAATAGTAACAAATGAAGTGATTGACAACAAGTTCTTACACAAACTATTTTGATAGTGTGTGGGGAATTTTTTTAAAAGCAACTTAAATGTTGTACGACCTTAATTTACATGAAAGACAAAGGATATACTTTCCTATCTGAATTGCAAAAATTAGTCCTAAAAAGGGCATAACTTTATTATATCCTCAGACCTTTCTGTAGTCATTCAGTTTCTAAAACATTTTCTGTTGGGCACCATGTTAATGATAGTATATCATGCATACAATGTTCAAACACAGCCCCTTCCAGCAGAGTTTACTCTTCCCTCCACCATTATGTCAATGCCCCCTTATCCAATCACCAACTCATCCTCTATAAATAAGTTCATTTCACTTCTTATAGTCCATGATCTAAATCTGTTTATGCAGGCTGAGATCTTTGCAAATGGCAGTTTGCACATTTAAAAACGACTGGGCTTTTTTTTCCATCAGGAATTTTAGAACTTCCCTGTTTACAACTCATTAGGCTCATTAATAGAATATAAAATTATATGTTAATTTTGGATCTCTTACCACATGAAAAACCATTCTAAGTTTTTATCTTATTATCAATATAATTTTTTTTTTACCACATTACAAACAAGGAAACCAATATCTAGGAATCTCAAACAGCCATGCTATATTATGTAAGTTTTAATCCTGAACCTAAGTGACAACAGTGGAATAATTCAGGAATTCTCTGAACCTAATAAATAATTCTATTATACCATATATTTCCCATCAACTGTGTAAAAATAAACTTTCCGCGATACAATTAGTAGTTTTGAAATGGAATTTGGTAGAGCAAAAATAATTTTGGAGGGAAAGCAGTGTGACAAGGAAATTTTCATAAAATTGTGAAACCAGTAGCACTGCACTGTAGTACTGTCCTCCCATTGATCATCGATTTGCTAGAGCGGGCACCAGTAATATCTCCATTGTGAGGCTTATTGTTACTGCTTTTGGCATATCCAATACGCCACAGGGAGCTTCCCAGGCTCTACCATGGGGGCGGGATACTCTTGGTAGTTTGCCCAGGTCTAGAGAGGGACAGAGGAATCAAACCCGGGTCAGCCTCGTGCAAGGCAAATGCCCTACTCACTGTGCTATGGCTCCAGCCCAGTACTGAACATTATTTTCATACACTTAAAGTCATACATTCTTAGGAGTGTTAGAAATAGTTTTGTTTCCTGTTGATTTTCTGTTCCTCAAATGAAGTTCCAGTGCTACTTATCTGACTCTTCTAAGACTTTTCTTATCAGAGAGACAGATGCAATTAGGAAATGAGGTTCTTTCTCAAAGGAGGGACAGGTATTTGTTCACAAAGCTGCTCTCTTCATTCCTCCTAATTTTCTGCTTCCTTAGGCAAAGAGGAAGTGCAACAGTTCTTTTATGCATGGCCTTCCCTCCTAAAACGTAGAAAAGATTTAGAAAATCCTGATTCCTTTCCTCTTGCTATACCTTACACTGTACAGAATGTACAAAATGCTTTAGTAGTGACTTCAGCAATTTTAGGAACATATTTAATTTGTGACCCCCATATATTGAAATAGAGTAAATGACCCACTTTAACTATTTGATTTTACAGATGATCAAATTGAGATTCATGGTGTTATATATCTTTCCTCACAATTTTACCATAGTTTTGGGGTCATTTTGTTTAGTTTTGGGGTCACACCTAGCGTTGCTGAGAGCTTACTCCTGGTTCTGTGTTCAGGGATCATTCCTTGAAGTAATCAGGGGATCACAGGAGATGTGAGTGATAGATCCCAGAATTGCTCCATGCAAGATAAGTGCCCTACCCACTGTACATCTTTCTGGTACAATGTTCCTGTCTATTTTATTGCTTTCCTCAGTTTACCTTCTAAATAAAAATTTCATAAAGTTTAATAAAGATCACAAAACACTTCTATAGCTATATTCATATATTAATTTTTTTCACTCCATATTCTTCATGCACCAATTAATTTTCTTTTGTTTATTAGTTAAGTGCTTTGTTTTGGTGACATGGCCAGCAAATAGGGATACTGTAAATAAAGAATGTCATTAAAATAAAACCCCAGAGAAAAGTAATTTCCAGTCTTGAGCTGTTGAATTAAACCCCCTCTCTATGTCCTAGGCTCTCTGTTCACTCAACTCCACTTTTCTCTTTCTTTTTCTCTTGACATATATTCACTTGTAAGTTTGAGCACCATAATAATAAGTAGTGTAATAAGCCCCAAACTTATTACACTAACCTATTTATTTTGTTTATATTTTCAGCATGTACAGTTTCTAATTACTTGATTCTGTGTGTTTTCAATGCTGTATACATAAAGAAAAAAATGTAATAATTAAAAACAAAACAAAGTTCTAAGCTATAAAAACAAAATAATGATTACTGATGAGAAGAAGGGAAGGAATGGAAAGTAAATTGGGAAAAAGAGATAAACTGTATTGTGATAGAAGGAATCTAAATTCTGGTAATGAACACAAGCAGTATATGCAGACCTTGATATTAAAATCAGCATACCTGAATTCTAGATAATGTTATAAACCAATATCACTGCAATAAAAGAACAAATTCTAAGTACCCTCTTTAAAAACCATAATCATCATCTCATATTTGTTCATTTGATCTTTCTCAAACACCCTTTTATCCTATTCTCTATTACATTTTTACACTTAATTCTTACAAATCATAATCTCAAGACTCACCGTCTCCAAGAAAATTCTCCAGGAATTTTAAAGTACTTCCTGGAAAAATGAAAGATTTAATATATGGAAGCAGAGAACATCTTGCAGTGACTTTAGTGGATAGCACCGACTTGGTACATCTGGCAATTGCAGGCAAGAGTGTTTAGAGGAAGGCCTAGATGAATAAACCTGATTTTATCTCCTGAGGAACTTTGAGATAATAGTTCTTTTTTTTTGTAGTTTTTGGATCACACCCTATGACGCT